GCGTGGTCTGTTTTTTGTGGGAGAAGAGGAAGGGTGAGACACAAGGTGGCAGACTACTGAAAAGCAGTCCTTGAGAGAAGTGAAAGAAGGAGACTGTGTGGCCTCCACCTCGCTTCTCATTCCTCCTTGGTGCCACAGCAAACACAAATCACTGGATCTCCATCCTGTCCTGTGTTTCTTCTGGGCACCATGTGTCAAAGAAATGTGTGTTTTGCAGATTTTTCATTGTTTTGTTTTTCCCACACTTTCAACACCTAACGAAAGGTTTCCAGTTTTTCTTCAAGACGGTTAGACTGAGGAGAAGAGAGATCTCCAGTCTTTAAATAATAGTACCTCCATCTTTACTTAAATATGCATGAAGGAAACTTCATGGTTGATCTGATCAGCATCTTGTCCCTGTTGCCCTTGCTCTGCAGAGGCTGTCTTTGGGCTGCCTTGAGAATTTCAAACATAAACTTACAACACTGGCTCTAAAATCATGAGCGTCCTTTTTTCTTTCTGTGTCTTTAAAAGTAAGATATGAATATACTTTTCTTCATAATGGCATCTTCAAGCCATTCTCCATACAAATATAAGCACAACATACAAACTTTTTCCTGATTTCAAGTCTCCATACGTAGGCCTTCACCTGAGCTTCCCTGGACTGATAACCGATACAGCCAGTAACCATACAGTCTGTGTAAACACTCAGGTATCCTCTCATTCCAAATTAGATAGAGATGTTAGGGCTTGTTGGGCATCTAACCGTGCAACCAGCTTGAGGGATTTTTGTCTTTAAGCACTGCCACTTGAGCTGGGTTTGAAGCTTGCTTTGTTTGTCCTCCCACGTCATACAAGGCTGGTGGATTGCAATGAACTTCTTTCAGTTGCTGCTGAACTTCCACCTTCAAGTGCTGCTACAGATGACGCACAGCCTCAGCTGATGTTGCTCATGTTGCTGTTCTGCCACCCATTTGGGAATATTTGCATCTTTCCCTTTGCACAAAACAATCCTGAGAATTTCTTATAACATGCAAGAATGGGCAGAACTCTTACCCAGTACAATATTCTTAGGAAAATTAACTAAGCACAGTTGTTTTTACTTTTTTTTTTTTTTTTTTTTTTTTTTTTTTTTTTTTTTTTTTTTTTAATATATATATACACACACATAAAAGAGAAATCTGTTATCTTTCTATTTGTTGGAGCTTCCTTGTACTGTGGTCACAATTTGCTGTTAACTACAGAAAAATGAAGTCAGCTATAGCTTTTTGGTTCTCTTTCAAATCCAAAGAATAAAAAATTTATGATGCTGTTCTGGAATCAGTCCTAAACATACATTCTTGGACTTGTTTTAAAAGAATACTTTATTCTAGAAATAACTCCATATTCCAAAATTTTTGATTCAGTATGTGCTGCCCATATTAAAAGCTTAAACAGCTTTTAAAAGCTTAAGCTCTGCATATATCCTTTGTTTCAAAAAGGTATTGTGCAGCTTTCATTGTCTCTGTAACAAATAGGTTGATTAAAACAAAACATTTCAAGGCAAAGTCTTAAAATATGATTCATGGCATAATGACTTTAAAATCAAATTCAGATCCAATGTAAGTAGATGCACCACTAATTTTTTTGTAACAATGACTCATAGCAGATCTGAATCTGGCTCTTTGTTAGAAACTGAAATCTTGCTATCTCCGTTACTGCAACCTCAGCCAATTTTTTTCCTCTGTAACTTTTAGTGGCTTCTACCTCTGAGTTTTAGAGCTGTCTAAAATTCAGCACAATGGAAAGGTATACAACTTCTTAAGGCATCAGATTTGGACAAACTGCATCTGGCCTCATCTGGTACAGACTTCCTCTGAGATCTTTGTCTCTGGAGCTATTTCTATTAAAAGATCTGGAAATCTAAGCAATAGGTCCTTCTACTTTTACTGGCCCTGGCTCTGGAGTGCAATCCAGACCTCTAGTTTGGTGTTTAGGCTTGTGACAAGGTGGCGGGGGGGAATTACACAGTTTAAAGCATATGTTTTCAGAGTACCTTTCTGAACAGTGGTCCAACTTAAACATCTGTATTAGGAAGCTGGCTTCACCATGCATTCAACAAAGAGATATTCCTTCATAACGTTTCCCTCCACTGTTTTGAATTTAATAGTTGAAGCGAGATAGAACAAATACATCCTGTGAAGTGGCAATCCAAAAGCCTCTCTCCATCCTCAGAAGAGCCACCCAGAGCAGGACCAGTAGAATCGGTGATGGAGCTTCTCTGGACACTTTCTTCTCTCGTTCATTTGGGCTCCAGCCACTGAAATTCTCTCCCCTTCACCAAATCTGTATTACACATTTAAATATATTCTTCCCAAGGGGTCAGCATTTGCTAACTGCTGGCTTTTAAACAGAGCTGGCAGAGGACGCTGTGTGGCAGGCCCTGCTCTCTATAAAGTTGTTGGGTGACTGGCAGTCTCAGCCCTCCATGTGCTCAAACTACCTTTTGTCAAAGGAAATGTCTGCAATTCCTCCAGACTGCTGTTTTGAACTGATAAAGAGGGAGCCTCACCCTGCAGCCTACTGCATAGGGCACATATCTAAGAGGGGCAAGTTTTTCTCTCTGAGTTTTACCAACTTCAAAACCAACTGAGGGAGAAAGACTTCACTTTCTGTAAGGTGAATGCCTCAGGCAGCAGGTAACAGCAACAGTGATCTCCTCACGCCTGGTCTGGCCCCATCAATGCTCTGTTTTCTGATGCATAAGGAAACACATGCACCACCTTGAGGTTAGGTAACCTTTCTGAAACAATCCTTAAATGAGAAATTTTCAGGATGGCAATTGTTTCTCCAATAGCTAAAGCTTTTAGTCCAGTCTAAATACAGTAGCATTCAGCTTCTGATCTGGATGATCAGCTAACAAGAAGCACCAAATACATTAATGTACATTCTCAAGTCCCTACATTCATGATGTTACTGATGTTATCAAATACTACTATAATGCTATCAAAGTAAATAAGGACAGACAGCAGCTGCTGATGTTTCATGTAGAAACACTGCAGGGGAACACATCCCCATGCAAAAATATGCCAGTGCCACAAACAGTCTGACTTGTTCCCTCTCCATGTGCTCCCCAGTTCTGGATGAAAAGCAATTTCCTTTAGAGAAGCTGTTTCTCTGGTTTTTTTAGCCATAGCCAGGCACATGAAGAACCTCTTCTTCACTCCCTTCCAGGATGCTGGCAGGGACTATACCTGCCCTCACAGTGGGATTTAAAGAACATCTTCAGTCCTACAAAGGTTCTCGAAAATTGCACATAGTAAAGCACTGAATTTGAACAATAACGGATGATTGTCATTGTGTTCATTTGAAAAAAATCTACCAAATTTTCACAATTTTAGCTTTAAAGCTGGATTTTATAAATATAAATAATATAGTAATATACATAATTGTCGATTGGCCATTTTTAGCAGAAGAAATATGGAAGGAATAAATAGGGGTATTATATAGAATATATAAAATGGAGATTAGGATATATTAATAAAGTAGAATAATACTCATAAATGCTACTATGTATTAGGTTAAACAATACACTTTTATATAATTATTTATCAGTATTTTAAACTGTAATTACAATAAAAGCTGCTGTAAATCTAAGATGGAAATAGCTAGGACTTCAACTCTGCAAATTCCAACAGATTCCTCCCACAACACTAAGCTTATCCACAGCTTAACTATTTTACAGTGCAACATTTTTAACTTCACATTCAATAAAGCACCACGATTGTAACTTAAAAAGAAAAATAGAAATAAAAATGCTACTGAAGTACTGTGTAAGTTAGTAGTATTGAGCTTCTGGAATTTCCTGAGATTTGAGTGCCTGACTTTTTGTTTTGGTTCTGCACCAAAGTAAAAATTTCTTTTTAAAGAGAGGAAGGAAAAAAAACATATTTTGTTTGGGATTTTTATACAAGCTTTTGACTTCCTTAGCACATCTTATAAATTGCCTAAGCACAGCCTTACACCTCTTTGTCTAACATCAGCTAAACAGAGAGATAAACTTAGAAAGGAGGCATAAAGAATAACGTCATATGCCTTACTGCAGAGCACAGCGTGCTCCAGTTAGCTAGATCCACTACTTTTCACCTATGGTCTCCTGCTATATCTCTAATCCTCATAAATTAGGGCATGTCAAACTTAAGAGCTCCTTGTTCTCATAAAATTACCTTTATTAAAAAAACACCATTAAAAATGTGACATAGAAATAGCATATGTATGGCTATGTGAATCATACTTACCTTCCCATTCACTCTTGCTCCTCTTGTGTTTAGACATAAGCTTTTCACAGCAAGGTCTCTGTGTATACTTCTGATCAATGCTAAACATCAGTACCACCTCAGAGTTAGTCCACAGACCATAGGTGTCAGGATCTCCTGAAACTCAAGCTCTACCAGTGTCCTAGCAGCTCTGCTGACTTTAGGAATACTGACAGGAAACACATGCAAACCTCAAGAAGTGTTTTCTCTTCCTCTGCTTAAAAGGAAGTCCAATACAGACTGTTATAGTACAAGACAAAAAAAAAAAAAAAAAAAAAAAAGGGCACACTGTTTGGTCTCACTAATAACATCATCAGTGTGGACACAGCTTACGTGCCTGTCATGCATCTTACAGAAAGGAGTCCCAGCTTCTGCAGCTCAACAACATAAAAAAAGAAACAGTTGCACTCAGGAGGGAAGCTTTTTTTGGTATGGATTGATCAAAACCACAAAAACTGCTCGCTCTCCTTCTTTAAATGGGTTTTTAACATCATTAAATGGCTTCTGTCAAGCCTCATGCATATACAGCTCAGACAGACAACCAAAGAAAACTATCACTGTAACTGCTGTTTCCAGATACATGCAAGATAATCTGCTGAAGACCTTCTAAACTGAAATACCAGAGGCTTCTCTCCTTGAACAGCATCAGACTCTTTACAGCAATACTGTGTGATCCTCAAATATGCTTTGTTTTACTGACACAGAAGATATAAACCAGTCTAGAAAATGGTCTCAGAATCAATGTTTATTGTGCAGGCCTCACATACAAAGGTATCATATGAAATATACCTGATGCGTGATATGAGAGCAAACAGTAAATGAAAACCAGAAGATTGCTTGTGTTTCCAATCTAAATAGTGTCCAGAGGTACCAGAGCAAAGAAAATAAGCCAGGCTGAAAAGAAACTTTACAAGCACCACACAAAGACTATCCTGCACAAAGAGCCATATACAGCATATGTGCTTCTAAATCTCATCCTATTTTGAGGAATTTAATCATGAATAAGCCTTTTGCTGCCACCTGTACAAAAATCAATGTTGCACAGAGTACTTCAGGGTAGTGAAAATAATTGGCTATCAAACAGTTGAATTAATAGACATGAATTAAAATAGGGATCCAAACTTTTCCGCAGTAAAAGTTTTATCCCCATTCATTTCTGCAGATGGTAAGTTTAAAATGAATGTTACTAAACAGCAATTAACGTGAAATATTATTTCAACTATGCCCACTTATTTATCCAGTGTAGAAACTACACCTAAGCACAAATGATAGGTATCAGAGACCAAAACAGTTGTTTCAAGAGCTCCTGAGAGACTGCTGGTCTGATGAGGATGCTCACATCCATACTATGCTTAGATCACAAACATTTTGTTTGTGAAAACTAGTTTGTAAAAACTTTTCCTGCACATCTCGGAAGCATGTCGAAGTGCAGCCCTGGAGGACCACTGACATCTGGTGGTCACTTCAGTCCTTCCCAACAGTACAGGCAGCTCCTGGCATAGACGAGCACAGGCTGAAGCAAGGTCGGGGGGAAAGTAAAACTGCTTCATCAATAATTAGCCTGTATGAGAGCCCACTGAGCTACTAATGTGAACTAAACGGACACATCTCTGGGAATGTAAGTGGTCTTACCTGGAATTAACACATTAAAAAAAAAAAAAAAAAAAAAAGGAAAAAAAAGAGGAAGGAAAAAGTAAAATATAAACTAATTCTAAAGAAAGCTAAATCATATATTGAATTCTACCATGACTTGACCAGATTATATTTTACAGATGGCCTGACAGAAATACATGCCAGAGAAGCATTAAGTTGCAGGCCTTATTCTGTGTTTATTAGCTTAGTGGAATTTATTGGTTACAAGTAAATGCAGATGAACTGCAAACTCATTTAAAGTTGCCAGGACATTAATAGTATTGTTGGATTAAACGTACTCTAAAGATAATAAAGTCTTTCTAAATAGAGCACATTTAATTCAACTAGTTCTTGAGAACCAGCTCATGAAATAGAATTAAGTAAAACTGTATTTTTGACAAATAAAAAAAAAAAAAAAAAAGCATTGCTTCCTAGGTAAGATGTTTCTTATTTCTGAAAAGGAGCAATGAGATTTAGGTCTTCTTTTGCTAGACAACTAACACAAATTATAAGCAGTATTCAACAGTTGCATCCACTTTGATATCTCCTAGATGGTGAGACTGTCCAGACAGAAACTGCCTCAGTTCTCTCCAGCAAACTTGAAGGCAGATCTCCTTGGTGCTCAAAAGCAATTGTGCAGAAAGACCACAGCCACCAGCACTGGATCTAAAATGTACTTAGGCCTGTTAGCACAGGTTGATAGGCAAACATTTAAAGCTATGTTTTGCTTGGTGTAGTTATCTATAACTTGTAAACAAAACTCTGAGGCTTTCAGACATTCATCAAGAATACAAAAATCTTACTAAACTGTCATGAGAATTTTCAGCCCTTCCAATTGCTTTCTTGCTGCAAAGTGATTCAAAGTCTGCTTTCAGGTAACTGCTTATTTCTCATCGAAACAGGAGCTCAGTTCAAATCTAATAAAACTCTCAGCATCTGCTGAGTAGTGGGAAGTAATCACAGTGTTTTCCTACACCTTTCCTACATGCTACAAAAGTGCAGCTCTGCAAAAAATCTGCAGTACAAATCATATGTCTTCAAACTGGCCTACATTTTTCACTTACCACCAATAAGTAAAGAGATTGCTAAATTACAGTTTCACCTTCAATCTAGGCTATATAACCAGATTGAAATATAGTGAATTATTTTAAATCACTTTCACAAAACACATTGTTGTGCATACATTTGCTAGTTGGCTGCTGTGGGCAAACATTTCAGAGGCACATGCAATTGCTAACATAGCCAAGTAGTGTGCAAATGATAGCTAGTGCTCAGAGTGGAAACGAGAAAGGTTACATGTGACACTAATATGAAGACAACTGTATCAAGCCACCTCAATGAAAGCAGGAAATGTACACTGAGATAGTTTGGTTTGACTCAGCCTGGGCTTACAGTTGAGCTGGATACCTGGCTGGGCCAAAGGCTACCCAAAAGGCTTTCAGAAGACAAGTGTCAGTTTTTTCACCCCCCTTTGTATTTCAGCAGAAGTCCAGCATCTGTTGACCACTGATGCCTGTGGAGAATCTCACTCGTGCGGCCCACAAATCATTGATGTTCATACATGTTTCAGGTCTCTTCCTGTACTGCTGCATGAACATACAGTGACAATAGTGGCTCCACAAGACTACTTTTTAACACATTCCTAAAGATCCAACTGCAAATCAGTAGACATTAATCAGCACAGAGACACTCCTGTACACAACAGGCACAGAGCCTATGTTCCACTTCAATCCCACTCTGAGAATTTAAAGTGCTATTTTCAGTATTTCAACAATGCTGGTTTCTGCACAGTAATGCATTTCACCCACAGTGAAAAGCTGTCACATTGCTGCGTATCTATTAAATAAAAGCATTTTAATTAGGTCAGCTACTGGGTAAAGGAGACAATAACCACTTTAACAAAGCACTGTCACATCCTTTATAGGTCCTCAACATAAAAAAAAAAAGTCTCTTCTTTCCTCTATTGTCCCTCCAACATATACTTACCACAGATATTTCAGCATTGCCAATCCAATTATACAACAGCAGGAGACGATTACTGTGTGACTATGTTCTAATTCACAGATATAACCTTTCTTCTACGTTTATATTTTATTGGGGATATTTTCCTGGGGGGTAGAGATGCCCTCCACTCATCACCAGGGACGGACGGGTCTAAAAATAATTTTGCCTGGTTCTAATTGATAACATCACGTTGGCAAACCTCTTCCGAAGACATGTGAAAACAAGATAACCCATTCCCGCCAGCATGCTGACCAGCAGGGTGGTGCCGAGAACCCTGGGAGCCCTTTTCTTGGCCACACGGAATGCTGTTGGCAGAACAGCAGAGATTAATATATTGTTGACATGTCCTAAAACTTTGTAAAATGCTTTTCTCTTCAGAACACGCTCATAATAGGCTTCCAAGTTGGGCCGCTTTCCGTTTCCCCAGTTTCTTCTTGCTAATCCCAGAAACTTCAAGCGATGTAATGTGACAGCAAGTGATACATCTGCCAGACTGAAGAAATCACCACAGAGCCAAGGCTGATTTTCATCTTCTAAGCAGAGATAAAACATAAAGAATTAGGAGCTAATGGAATACAAGCACACATAGAAGCCTCCATGGGCTAAGATTTAGTTTAGTGCTATTTCACAATGCTGTCTAATGAACACCACCAACACCTCAGGTAAGATATGACTTTAATCAATGAACATTTTACAAATCCCTGACCATTCTTCACACAATATGGTAAAGTCTCAGGCTCAGCAGCCTGGCCTACATTTGTTAAGGAAAAAAGAGCAACATTTCCAATTCATAAATTAAAATCCACAGTAAACATTTTCCTCAACTACATTTCTCAAATCTGGATTAAATTACACAGGAGTGAAAAGGAGGAAAGCAGTTTAGCTTTTACAGAAAAGCTACCACTTGCCCGAAGAATTTATCCTCTTGCCTGTGTCAATCAGCTCTATGGCATTCACTCAAGAACTGCTAATTTGCTGGAGACTTTCAAGTCAAAAAGAAACAGATCAGATGACTAACCTGTAGCAAACACACCAGCTCAGCAAGAAGACAGTTTGTCTACCTGTCCTTCCTTTCTACCTCCTAGACCTCAAACCATGGGGTTTTTACACTCAGAAGTTTGAGAAGTGATGGATATTCACACTGCCCACCATTAATCAGGAGCACAGATGGAGACCCCAGGCTCCCTCTCCAGCCAAAGGAAAGAGATGAATCTTCCTGGGATGGCTCAAAGCATACACTGTCAAGCAGCATCACACCTCTACGTTCAGAACCATCACCACCTGGAAGGGCTGACCAGTATTGACTACATCAAGTTTCAGAAAACCCAGGATATGTAATCTGGTAGTCAGCACAGCTGCCAGCATGAGTACTCTACTCTAGCCTAGATCTCAAACAGGACTGTTCCCTCCTCATTTGCAACCTTCTGCAGTTCCTCCCACACAAGAGGCACACAAAAACATTGGCATGAACATTTAGCAGCACCTCTGTGGAAACAGAGAAAATCTGCAATGTCCCTTTCAACTCATCTGCCACCAGAAGGAAGCAACAGTTTGGCACACCACTGGTCCCAGTCCATGTCAACTGGTTATGCAGGTCTGGAAGAACAGCCTCTACAGGAACGAGGGTACCCTATGTTGCTGAAACGATACCTAGGGATTCATCCAGTGCATTAATTAAGATGATGGAAAGGAAGACCAAAGAAGATAATGTGTATGAAAGAAAGATGACTGCAGTGGCAGCAGCAATAAGCGAATGCGGGATTTAAGCAGTAATAAGAGAAGCAGAAGCTGGTTGACCAGGACCCAAAGAGGGTTCACAAACCTCAAAAGCATGAATATGTCAGACAAAATTCCAAGAGGCAGGTAATAGCCATATGTTTTACTAAATACTGTGATCCTGGCAGTTTTCATAAGTTCATCAACACTGTATCAATTTAGCAGAGAAAGCAAAGGGGATGCTGGAAATGATGACAGACTTAAGTCTGCTGAACAAAATCCTACCATCCTTTGCAAGTTAAAACATTTGCTATGACTCTTTCGCTGTTGAGTCAGTAGAAAATTTAGCCTAGATTTTCAATCACTGGTTCAAATCTACTGTCTTCATAATAACCGATAATTATTACAACAGCTATTTATAGAGTCAAATGCAAAGAATTACTGATTTGAGCAGATGCAGTTGATTTTGACTGATACTTCATGCAGCTCCCAGTGAAGTCAGGGAAAGGATTCCTATTAGCAACACTGGGAGCTGGACCTGACTGAATATGCACAACACTAATCCCATTTAAACAAAATTCGACCTCCATTTGGCTGGACAGCAGATGAACACCACTGCTCTGCAGGAGGGTGGAGGAGAGGGGTTAATTAGTGATCAAGAGCATTTATCCAGATTGCTAATTCTGCATATATCACAAATATCAACACAGTATTTACACAAGATTGTAATAAACCTGTGTTAAACATTAAGGTAATGATCATTATAGTGAACTGAGGCCTACAACTACAACATCAAGAATAACAACGTGTAGTTAAGGTTTTTCTTATTTTGTGGATAAAATACTGCAAAATTATGCAGCAAATTATAATCGCTATGCTGAAAATGTGATCAAGCACTCTCATAAGACAGTGAGAACTCACTGACAGCAGCAGTAAACTAAACCAGTATTTAAAACAACACTGATCCCTTCTGCAATGTCAGATCAGTATATTCCAGAACTATCAAATAGAATACATTAAAACCAGCTCTGTAATGGTGCTGTCAACAAGTTTACTCATTCTCCCAAAACATAAGCATCAACAGCATTTAGCAAGAATAATTCCTTACCCGGCGTTTCCTCATTTCGCCGCTGCAATTCAGTCTCAACCTGATCCAAAACTTTTTCCAGTTCATCCAGTATTTTCTTTAGGTATTTTATATTATCATGATCCAGCAGTTTAGACTAAATATAGATACAGGTTAGTGTTTAATCATTGTACAGAGTTTATACTTTTATCAAAGCAACTTTTACTGACATACCACAGTGCTTGTTCATAAAATGCAATTATTTTCTCCACATAGCTGAATACCATTTGGACACTGCTGACAATTCAAATAACAGAAGAAAAACATTAGAGATGCTAGATATTGAAGTTTGCCTCACCCTGCAGGGTGCTCAACAGCCCAACACTAGCACTGATGTGTACTTACCTTTGAAGTCTGTGGGACTAATCCAACACTTCAGCACACACTTGAAGTGTGTAGCTGATCTGGGGGACTGCTTCATGCCTTGTAGGGTTAAACCACTGCATGACATTACTGGTAATGACAGGTGAAACAAATGTTTACATCGTGACAGAAAAAATCTGACACTAACAAGCTCATAATAAAGGGGGGGAATACTAAGAGGTTGCTTACTTTAAGGCGCTTCTGTTTTGCTATATAGGCATCTTGAAGGTCTGGATTTTCTTCCGCAAGTTTCTTCAACTCTGATTCTGTGTTACTTATTTGACCTGAAGCAAAAAATCCCAAAGGAATTACATTAGATACCCAAACATACCCATTGTGCAATCAACACACCAAAGAAATGGCAAGTGGTACTTCAATGAAGCATCACCATGAAGTTAGGATTCAAAATCATGTTCTGCAAAACTTGACTTCTGCATAAATTCACCCCACCACACCTTCTGCTTATCAGTTTGCAATGAACTCTACAAAGTGGTGATCTGACAGGCAAGAAATAGGAATTCTTGTTAATATTTCTCTCTTCTTCAGATAAAACTATTTTGCTGCCCCAAACTGTGCTAAATCCATGAAATTCTACTATAAATACCTTTTTTTACTTCAGTTCCTGGGTTCTGAACACACTTCCCATACTGTGAAAGTGCTGATAGGCCCATACTGAGATTCTCTACAGGTCATGTGCATAATTCCACAACAAAAGCCTAAATACCACTGAATATGGTACCAAGGTGTTTTGAGTTAGCTAAAATGTGACACCAAAATCTGTGATCCCTTTTAGAAATATTCATTACAGAGTATACGGATGTTCTAGAAAAACAGTCATTACATGACTTACGGAATTATGTGAAAAAATTAAGATAATTTTACTGATTTCTACTACATGTGTATAGCCTTTTCTCTCCTTAAAAAGGGATTTTGCTTGAAAATACCATACTTACAGACCTAGAATATCAAAAGATAGTGAACAATGTTATCTTCCAAAAATAAGTATTTCTAGTAATAAACTGAAAACAAAATAATAATTATAGGGCATGAATCACCTCTCACTTGTACTTGATAATTAAGATTAGTTCCAATTGTGTCTTACATATTAAACTAATAAAAATTCTTGCTAAAGAATAATGAACTCACTGTTTTATATATTCTTTGTTTCAACCTGACATGACTAGGAAAGTCATCTTTCAACATAGTATATGAAGAAATTGAATGATATAATCCCACAAATAAAATCTTATATATGCAATTAATTACTTAATTTGATTTGGTATACATAAACATGATATATAACTGGCTGGTGGCTTATTATATCTAGCACTCTGAAAAAGATCAGCTTTTCAATGCTGAAAATTAAACCATACAGGAGAAGTTTGAACAAGCAAAGGAATTTTTTAGGAACATCCATAAGCTATTAAAAAAAAATTGCCTCAAATCGAGAAAGCAGGCTATGCTTTAAGTATAAAAAGAAAACATTCCAGTTTATATAAGCAGTAATTTTAGCTCTACCAATATGAACATGTGTGTAAACTGACAACAATCTATATCAACTAGAAGCTAGAGGGGGAGAATACATACGGTCAGCAGAATGCAAGACAACACTGTAAAGTGAACTGTAACAAAAGCACTGACTATAACCATGCAAAAAGAGAAAAACTATCAGTAATGCCTATGAGTAAAGTACAACTGTTCAGTAACAGTTAGCATCCACATTTGGGGAAAACAAAACCAAAAAATACTGCTATAACAAAGTACACTGATATTTTAAAAAATAAGTACAATGATATAGACAATTTCTTACTTCAGTAAAAAAAAATGCTAATTATACTTGCTGAAATTACTCATTCTAAATCTCTAGATACTTTTTATAACAAATTTATTTTAAATAACCATTGATCATTGGACAAGAAAGGATAACATGCAACTCTAAGAAAAACTAACTGCCTGACTTCACTTCTGACAATGTAATGGTGTGGCTAATAAGAGAACCTACTTGCCAAAAATTTTAAGGAGGATGATAACAGAGTTTCTTGGAAACAAAACTCAAAATAACACAGTATCATCTTTTATGATGTTATGAATTTGGTAATAATATTGTCACAGTATTTGACTTTCTTCTATAGAGCATTCCAAAATACCATACTAAAAAATCAACATGATATAAAGCACTGACATTGACAAAAAGAAAAAAAAATTCTGAGATCTCAGAACATAACTGTAAACAGAGAATCATCATCCAGCTGTGTTCTTGGGATGTGATCCTTGCCCTAGAACTATTTAGTTCTTTCATAATACTTAGAAGGAAAAATAAAAGCATTAATTAAAGTTTGCCATGATACAAAGACTAGAAGAGACATAAATCAAGAAAAAAGGTGGCACAGATACACAATAGTCTGGACTAGTTAATAAACTGGGCCTAAGCAACCAACTGATGTTTTAACAGAGACCAATGTAAAATATAAACTGAAATGAAAGATACAGGCCATGTTTCTTGGCTGTAAGGGCTGTAAATTTGCAAGCAATTCTGGATAGACAGACTGTGGTCATGACCAGCTGAACAGGGACTGCCAGTGCTGTTCTGTGGCTGAAAGTAACACTGGAGTCCTTGAACATGCATACAGTGAAAAAAAACAAGAATAAAGAATTAAATATTCATCTCCCTATCCGATACCAAAGTGAACTGAATCTGCTGTCCTGGTCTGGCATACCAGGGAGAAAAGAGAAAAAAAAAAAAGAGCTATGAACTGAAAGATTGTTTCCCAAGGATTTTTCTGAGTATCACTGAATGTTGTTTAAACTTATTTCTGCAAACTACTGGATTTGAAACAGGAGTTCATTTCAGGAGGTTCTTTGTTATAAAGGGTATCGGGCACCATAATCTACAGTTATTTCCTCTGCCCTTAACATTTTTTTTCATAGGAAATTGGCACGTATACAAAAGTCTATCAGGTAGAATACCAATCCTAAGGAAGTCAAAGGACATTTTACCATTCATTCTATCAGACCACCAGTTCATCCTTTATCCTGATTCTATACTGTTGCATCATTTGCACCCAGGATTTGGATTTAAATTGTGCATTAACAATTACCATTGGTATGATGAACCCAGGGTACTCACTTCTTTACACTGTTTTTTTTTCTTCCTAACCCCAGTACCAAGCTGACACCAGTCCTCAGACAAAAAAGGCCTGATGATTCTCTTTATATTAATGGACTCTGTTTCATTGAGGCTCATCTGCATTTGTTGCACTTTGAGAGGAAAGCAATTGCTTTTATTTAATAGGTAAACTTATTACAAGTTTACAATCACAAAAAAAAAAAAAAGGGTTTCCTTCAGTGTAGTGGTTTGGTGTGAGCAGTAATAGAGCTGTTCCCTAGAAATTGCTTTATAAGCATAAACAGCAAATCAGAAGATAAAATACAGCTGTCACAGCTGCCATTTTCTGTTATGCACAAAAAGCACATTTTCAATCATTAGGAAAATTAATTCCACAGTCACCTCAAAAATTACATTTCCTCTTTCCTGTTTTCAAATCATAACAGACTACACAATAAAAAGTATATGCACAAATTATCAAGGACTGCATCTAAAATTGGATATCTGTGCTCAATATATTCTGCTTAAGGTGCACTGAAGACACGAGGTGAATGTAATGCATCATCCTATCAACTGACAGGCATTCAGAGCTATACCAGTACATACTACGAATTCTGCTGGTAGCATAGGCTGGAATCATGGAGTCCACTGTTAACTCAGGGTGCAGGATGCAGCCGTGCGTGTAGGCATCCATAGGCAAGGAGTCTAAAAGCTCTCTATAGTGTTGTACCCTTGGATAATACATGCTCCCTTCTTCTGGCATTAATCTTGGTACTTCCTCTGCAATAAAAGTTAAAGTTAAGAAAAGTAGAACCATATAATTGACAAAAAGAAGTATTTCCAAAGTTACTTTGGTTATGTCTAACCAGCACAGATAACACAGCCACAGTTAAGAAAGCTCCACCGGTTCTCCACCATAACTCAACAGTGTTATCACAGCTCAGAGAAACATATATACACATACTTCATTTTAAAACATTTGAATAATTCCAATTATTATGCAGCAACCCAGATAAACATGTATTTAAGAGGCCTTCGAATCCAAAAACTGGATTCAGCATCTATTTTGTACTTGGGCAACAATGGCAGATAACTCTTCAGCCCTCTCACAGCAGGGCACAACTGATGTTCCACTAAATTGCTACGGCTGAAACATTACTACGGCTGCAATGCGTAAAAGTTACAGTATTGGAATCTTACTCAAAGCATGATCAGAAGTATTCTGGCACACCACTGAGTTCTATTCTGCCCTCAATCCACCTGGGCCCTAACTCCTCATTTGGTGAAAACGCCAGCATTAAATACATATTATGTTCACTCGACAATTAAGTTTTCTTCATTCCTTAGAAGTCACTGTGCTAAACCCCTAAAACACAAAATGCTGCCTCTTCACACCTAAAAAAGTACAACACTGCATTTCCATCAAAAATTGAGGCCGTCTGGTTTTCAGCAATACAAATAAATTCAAAAGCCTGCACATGATCACTTCTGAGTTTCCTCCTCCTACTTTTTAAACTCTTCACTCCATTTTGGCTCCAAAACCAATTTACTCACTTTACTTCACTTTTCCACCCATGATTATTCTGGAATTAAGCATCTCTTTTTCCTGCAGGGTAGCAGGACCTGACCGACCCACACAGCATCAGTGGAACGCTCCGTCCGATGTCTCGGCAGCCTCACCTCAGGGTTAGCTCAGCGCGGTGCTGCCATTACTGACTTCTCTGCCTTTCCTGAGGGGGTAAGGAGGCAGAGGTAGGTTTTCACTTACAGCTGCTTGTAAAGATGCTGGAAGGCCTTAAATTCATTTTAAAAGAACGTGATTTTACTCCATACCACCAACTATTAGGGGAGCCCATTTACTTGTGAGACTTTAAAACATTTTCGGGTCCTGAACAAACCAATGCGTGGTGTGACACGGAGCTGACCCCACCACTGCTGTGGGTGCGGGGGCAAGGATTTCACACCAAAATGCCTGTGGGATTACCGTCTACAAACGTTGCTTCAAGGTAGTCGATAATCTGCGTTGCCTCACAAATGATGTTTTCCCCGTGGATCAGGACGGGCACTTCTCCAGAGGAATTTAAGCGCATGAACCACGGTTCGTTGTGCTCGCTCAGCGGCAGGTTTACATCGTGCTCTTCGCACTTCAGGGCTTTTTCGGCTATCGCCAGGCGCACCTGCAACGGCACCGCCGGGTCACCCCAGGGGACGCACTCTCCGGGCACCGCTCTCCGCTCTGCCGCCCCGGCCCGGGCCCGGCTCCCCGCCCGG